GTAAAAATGGCTTTTTGATATTTCTTAAGATTACAACTTTGTTAAGTCTAAAATATATCGGTGAATGAAATATATTTTTATTCAAATTAATACCAGGCCACAAACAATCATTTAGGGACAGACTACCTATTTCATGAGCTCGCATCAAATACAATACGCATTTTTGCCGTAATCCTTTCTTCTCTATAAACTGACTGATGCGACATATAAAAAACTGGCTTGTTTACTGGTTTTGTAGAATCTAATACTCTTTCTATCCCTTGATTTAGGTATTCTTTTAAAGTTTCTCTGTATTTTAAGTACGTAGTGTATTCGGAAACTAAGTACAGTTTCATTCTAGCACGTCGCAGCGCTGTGGTAGGCATTCCGCGCATGCGCACTAGTCTTTTTTCTTGTTCACTGACTTTCAATTGTCGCCATTTTGGTTGCTCTATGTTGTGTTTTCAGTTTGCTGTGCACATTCAAAATGTTTAAGATAATTAGTTCTCCCGCTGACTGTGAGATTCGTGCCGTGATTAAATTTTTGAATGCGAGGAATGTTAAACCGGCCGAAATTTATCGTCAAGTGACAGAAATTTACGGTGAATACACGATAAGTGATGGAATGGTGAGAAAGTGGGTAAGAATGTTTAATGCAGATCAAACAAATGTCCACGCCGAGGCTCAGAGTGGTCGGCCTTCTGTTGTTACCGATAATTTGGTAAGGAAAGTTGATGAAGCAATTCATGAGAACAGACGCTTCACAATGACAACTCTTTCAGAGGCATTTCCACAAATTTCACGTACTGTTTTGTTCGAAATTGTGTCTGACCGCTTGAATTATCGCAAACTGTGTTCCCGATGGGTTCCAAAAATGCTTACTGATGTTCACAAAACAAAGCGACTTGTTAGTGCCCTGACATTTCTCACGCGGTACAGTGATGAGGGAGATAATTTTTTAAACCAAATTGTGACAGGTGATGAAACTTGGGTTTGTCATTTCACACCAGAATTGAAACAACAATCAATGGAGTGGAGACACACTCATTCTGCGAAGAAACAAAAGTTCAAAGTGACAATATCATCACAAAAAATCATGTGCACTGTCTTCTGGGATAGGAAAGGCGTTTTGCTTACTGAATTTCTTCCCAGAGGTGAAACCATTAATGCGGCAAGATATTGTGAGACTTTAACAAAACTAAGGCGTGCCATTCAAAACAAACAAAGAGGAATGCTCAGTAAAGGAATTGTGTTGCTCCATGACAATGCTTGGCCCCATACGGCTGGTGTCACTCAATTGTTAATTCAACAGTTTCATTGGGAGCAGTTCGATCACCCGCCATACAGCCCGGACTTGGCGCCGTCCAACTATCACTTGTTCCTGCACATGAAGCGTGAGCTTGGTGGCAAGCGCTTTGGATCTGACGATGACACGAAAAATGCTGTATATGTATACAAAAACTGGTCACCTGCTATGACAAGTGTTTGATCACTGGCGGAAGCTATGTTGAAAAATAGTTTAAGACATGTATTTTCATGAAAAAATAAAATTGGATTAAAAAAAAATTGTTTTTCTTCTTTTTTTTTATTTTTTTTTTTTCCCAAAACGGTACTTAGTTTCCGAATACGCCTCGTATAATGCATTATCATGCTGCATTTTTCTCATCAGAATTTTTATTATTATTTTTTTTTTTTTTGTGACACCAAAATTGTTGCCTAAATACTCCCGACTTTCTTCCAAGGCAGGCTAACATCATACCGACCATCTTTGAAGCTAATAGTTTTATTGAATATCTCTAATGCTGTATCTTCATTGTACGAATTAGGATCATCTCTAATAACAATTGATTCCAAATAAAAAAACTTCCTCAACTGTGTCTCAGCATTATCATAAATTAAGCCACAATGCATTAATTGTTTCTCATGTGGTAAATCTTCAATGCTCCCGCTCACCAAATACCCAAATGCTGAGTTTTGTATCACTAAATTTGTATCTGGTATATAAATTTGCCCAGTTCTTATTAAATCGAAAAAATATTTCAGATCCAAGAAGTAACTGAATTTTACCCGGTTTGTCAAAGTCTGGATCAGTTAATGTATCTCCTTACGGAATCACAATATTAAAGACATCAGTTTGTCTAGAAGGCATTGAATGAGTAATTTTCGGAATTACGAAAGAAGCTAGTTTACGACTGTACATGTTTTCTCTATTTAAAATAACCACACTCATTTTTAATTTCACTGTTGTTGAAATCCCAGGTAAGCATCCTACTGATATGTTTACATTTTCCTTTTGCAAATGAAGCTTTTCAACTAATTCCGATGAACAAAGATGGATCATACTTCCACTGTCAAGGAAAGTTCTGCCTGGAAATATTTCCCCTTCATTTCCCTTAATATAAACAATCGCTGTCGATAGTAGGACTCTATTAACTGCATTACAATTTTTATTTACATTAGTAGCTGTCAAAAACACTCCTTACATCCTTATTTATGAATGGCTTGTTGTGAACGTTGAGGTTCCTGGTTTCCGTAGATTGACTGCCGTCTGACTTTTGATCCCACGGAGATGCAATTTCGTAACTGTTTTTATTCTTTTTCTCACATATAACATCAATGAATTGTGCTTTTTCTGCGTAGCTGATAAGAGTAATTTGAAGGGCAATTTCTCACTCCATGATTTCCAAAACAGCAGAAACATAAATTGTGCTTTTTGACATACTCTATCTTTGAGGCTGAATTTTTTAAATTTAGGACATTTAAATAATTTATGTTCTGCATTACACAGTTTACAAATACATACATGTTTCTCAGTCATGCAAGAAACCTTTGGTTGACTTCATTTAGACATTACCGGAATTCTAGAAGCGTTTAATGTCCTCACGTGTGATGCTTTAGAAATTCTAATAACTCTGTGATATTCGGTATTTTTTCTTTCTTTAAAATCTTTTCCCACCATAACTTAGTATTCTGATCAAGTTTCTTGCTAAGAATAAAGGCAAATATAGTGGACGAAACCCCATCTAAATTTTGTTCTAGACATTCTAACGTTCATACAACTTCACTTGTAACATCAGTTAAATTTAGAATCGCAGAAGCTGACTTGTTTTGAAGAACGGGTCACTCATAAATATTTTGAAATAACCATACACTTGTTCTCTAGGGTTTGAATATCTTTCTTCAAGTAGAGACCATAATAAGTTATAATTATTATCCATTATAAGTATCATTTGGATTATTCTAAAGCCATCTCCTTTCAGTGCTGATTTCAAACATTGCACTCTACAGCATCTGCTAAATTTGGGTTTTGATCAAAACTCACTTTAAAAGTATCCCTAATGAAAAGCCAAGAATGCATTTCTCCTGAAAATGTCGGTAATGAAATCTTAGGTAAACGCACAACAGAATTTCAGAAATCAGAAATTGCTGTATTTTCCACCTTATTCCTTTTGACAATCTATTATTTATTTCAAATTCTATATTAATAATACTACGTTGATTTCATCTTGCTCAATAATTTTTCAATATTTTTTTCACCACGTAAATTAATAATGGAATAAAAAAATTTATCTAATTCATTTTGCAACTTATTAAATTTAATTTTTAACAATTCTAAATCAGTAACACTTAAAAATCTGGTTCAGAAAGTTTCTTATGCAACTTCAATAAGATAGTTTTCTGAGTTCTATTTTTAGTGAGAACATCTTTCAATTTCGTAGCTGTTTTCGCTACACTTATAAATAATAACAAATTATCACACAAAATTAACTCAGAATTTACTAAATGCAGCAGTTAATAATGAATATAATTTCACCTTTTCTTTCAGCATCCACACAGAAATCTCCAGAAACAAAATGGCAAAATCACTCTTCCTATAACTAGTTTATTTACTTAACCGATATCGCTCCCGTTGTACAGAACCACTCAAAATGGTCCGTCCAATTCAAAATGGACTGTAACTCTTAATTAAATTAACAAATTAAACTATATCTCATTATCTCTATTTTGCTCATTTTTGTGGAAGACACTCAGGCAACCAACTCACTCTGCTTCACCATTAAAGCAATTTCAAAAAAGTAATAACATACTTTTGAAAACAGTATTGATATCAGCGCCATCTGGCTTTAATTGGATTTAACGCACGATATTCTGAGCGAACCCCGACCTTACAAACCACTTTCCAAATGAGAAATCCTCTATGCAACTTTTCTTCTATGCAGTGCATCAGATGTCATTTCTGCTTTCTGCGTTGTCTAAATACCAGGGCTGTGGAGTCGGAATCAGAGTAGGAGAAACATCGTTAAATTGCATTCGATAACGGTCAAAATGGATATTTTCGTTGAAATATGCTGCCTGAAACTTTTTGCGATTACAATATTTCCTTTTTACTTCGTAGAAGGAAGTAAAAATGTTAATAATTTCTTATAATTATATCTTAAAAATTCAATCTTTTGTAGCTCAAGCACAGGAATTAATTAATTTTAATTTATTCTTAACCTTATACATATATATGTAAGATAAAAAAATACGTAAATCAAAATTATAATTAAAAATAATAGTAAAATATTAATTCTCCCTCTCTGTTTTAAAAATCGCAATAACTTCTTCGGATTGCATCATTTCTAGATCATTCTATGGTCTGCGCAGCTCTGATGATGTAATAAGTGGGAACCAAAACTTTTCCCTTTGTGTGTTTCCATCTTGCATAACTACGCACTTCAGCTTCGCTCTCTGCCCTGCTAGGATGTAATTTGGCTGTCTTGCTTGCTATCATTATAATATCAAAACTGTAAATGTGCTTGAATTAAGACACACACTAGAGTGCCAAGTGATTGTAGCCACAAACGTCAACTTGAAAATAAAAATGGAATTAAAACTGCCTCGACTGCCAATTTTTGTAGATATTACACAGTTAACATATTAGCATACTACGCAGAGTTCTTCAATATGGATCTAAGTATGCATCAACAGTGCCCCGTCTTTCCTTGCTGTTACTTTATTATATTTTCATTTTGTTTCAGGGAGATCTTGGTTGGATGGTTAGAGGAAGTATGGTTGGACCATTTCAAGAAGCAGCATTTGCACTACCTGTTAGCAGTTTACAAAATCCTGTATATACTGATCCACCTGTTAAAACTAAATTTGGGTATCATATAATTATGGTAGAAGGAAAAAAATAACTTTAATTATACTAATTGTAAATAAAGAGCTTATTTTGTATAAATTTCTTCTTAAATTATTTAATTGCAATTCAGTTTTAATTCATACTACAGGTTGTTAAAATTCTTAAAAGTGAGACAAAGAAAATGTGATCTCAACTGTATTTAGGATGCAAATTGTGATCATGTATTAAAAATAATCTGTTAATAATATTTAGTCATATATTCTGTATAGTCATAGTAAACACTGGATTAATTTATGAAAAGTGAGGCAGGTAAAATATTTGCAAAAGGTCTGGCAATATATTGGTTATATATCAGAAGTAAGCATAATTCAATTACATTGCAGTTACAAATATAAGTAATTCAATTACAATGTATTATCAATATATCAATATTCAATTAATCACATTGTAATTGTAGTATATTCAATTAATCACATTGTAATTTCAATTACAATTAAAGCAATTACATTGTAATTGTATTGAAATATTTCAATCACATTGTAATTATAAACTAGGCAATTATGATGTAATTATGTTATAAATTGTGTGATTTATAATTACAATTATAACTAAGATAAAATTATAGCCACAGTTATAATTATATGGCACATGAATATTAACTGGAATTACAATGTAATTGCAATTAAATTTGCTAACTCATGGTTTATTATACTTTGAGGGCAGCACATTATTTTTACTTTGATGTAAAATATTGTCATCAAAATACAAAATTTGCAAACACAATCATGGCTCTGAAACTGATGGAAGAATTGAACATAAATAATCTAGAAGCAGCTTATCAGGAAGTGCTGTCAGTGCAGGAAATATAGATCCTAATTAAACTTTAATGTGCCTTTGTGTATAGCAGATTCTCAGAATTTTGTCATTTGGCAAAGCATGAAATTTTAATATAAATTAAATTATCTTAAAACTATAAGTTATCTTTTATTGACTGAACGAAATTGGTGATTTATTATAATTACTCTATAGTTAAAAGTCTAATTAATGTAACTATTATTGCAGTTATAAAATTTTTTTTGGCATTTAGAATTACATTCATGTGCAAAATTAAGAGAATTTCAAAATTATTTCTATTTTTCAGAAAAGAATTGAACCAAAGGTACTAATTATACCACCAAGCATTATGGAGATATTCAGAGTCAAATGCATTTCGTACACACATCTGCAGAACTGTGATTGTGAAGGAGATGCAAGCACATGAGGGGTTTTCGGCAATTTGTGTGCTCATACTCCTTCACAGAATTCACCATGTTCTCACAAGACTTGGGTAATTTTTATAAGGTGTTAGGTAAAATGAGTAGCTATGAATGTATGGATGACAGAATGAGATGGATAATTGATGTCAGATTGGAGGCATGCTGGTCACAAGCGCTGGTGGCTACAGAGCTCAATGTAATGCCCAGTGTCGTTCGCAGTGTGTGAAAACAGTTTCAGGACACTGGATCCATATTGAGAATATCTGGAGAAGGTTGACCAAGATCCACAATGATGAATGGGGATTGTTATTTGGCATTTTCAGCGCATTGACACAGAACTGGCACATCTTCACAGTTCTCATGTGAACATGTTCTCATGCTGCCACTGGAGCCCGAGTTTCGTTATCTCCAGCTATCTGAAGGCTTCATGAGATAGGGCAGTATGCCAGGAGACCTGCATTTGCGTTCTACTCACAGCAGCACACAAGAAAATGATGAATTACAGATGAGTCAAGATTCAGCCTGGACACTGATTCTTGGCATACCTGTATTTCAGTGGTTCTTAACCGGGGGGTGCGGGAATGTATTTTTGGAGGTGCGGGAGAAACCCCTTCCTAACTATAAAAATTATTAAATTTCTTATAATAAAATATTTGAAATCTGCAATAGTGTATCCAATATTGAAGCTCATAAAAATTGGTAGCACCCAGCTCACTTAATGCATTGCAACATGCAATGCGCTTTTGCATATAAAAACTAAAGCGAGAAATCGCTTAAATGCAAATGATGGCTTACACGTATGTCTTTCAAAAAAGGAACCTCGCTTCTCCAGTATAATAATGAACAAACAACAACAGACTAGTCATTAATAAAAATAATATTGTTTTGTATTTATATAAAATGTACAATGTTTTTCAATAAACTATAAGTTTCGCAAAAAATGTAGGTACTTTTCTGTTTCGCCGGCGCAAATCTCACCAAGCAGACTTTGTTGGCGACAACAAACAGTATACACAAAAAATATTAACAAATGTTAGTTCTAAGAACTTTTTATTCTGAAGGCATAAACATTTTAATAAGGTTTAAAATTTTGTAAAAAGCCAATAAATAAAGACAAATTTGTAAAAAGACATAAATTTAAGAATTTACTATGCTTTCATGGTTCAAACATCCTGGTTCGCCGGCTTGTATCACGTGTCTCTAAGTGATCGTATCTCAGGTAAACTACTCTACAAAAATCTAATTCTCTCAGTAATTATCTACACTAATTTCAAATTAAATCTTAATTTAGAATACAAATTTAAATGTAAGAATTATTTCCATTCGTTCGAATAGCTTATTCAGAAATTATGTAAAACTGGTTTGGTTTGGTTTTGTGTAATTATGACAAATCCTCGAGGGCTATCTGCCTAAGGGAAGGGATGCCTTCGTGGAGGACTTTCTAAGGGAAACTGGCTCGTATACACGTTACACATGGGGAAAACCACGAAAACGCCCATGCAGCCAGCCCGTTTGTATGTAAAACTGCAGTGCTTTACTTTTGCTAATGCATTCTCATTAGAATTTATGAATTTAGCCCTTGACTTTGCCTTATCTATATCTTCGCCATCGGGTGAGCGGTTTGATTCCATCCTAATTGACTTAATTACTGCGAATGGTATTCAACTATCTTGTAAAAATTCTATGTAATTGTATGGCAGTATTGAAAGATAATCTGCTAAGAAATGGGAAATGGCTGTGACTTGTTTTGAAAACGAGGCGTAAAAGGTTACCAGCGAAGATATACCGTTTGGCATCAGTTGTACCATTATTGGCGACTTTATCGCTTGCACCGGCAAAACGGAAAAGTACCAAAATGTATTTTTCTAGACTAGAAAAATTAAAACACATTTTTCAATGAGGTGCAGAGATATATTTTCAGATTCAGTGGATGCGACTCGCTAGAAAGGTTAAGAAACACTGCTGTATTTGGAGAGAGCCTGGAACACGATATCATTCCTTCCTGATCAGGGAAAAGAATCTTTACAGTGGTGGAAATGTAATGGTTTGGGCAGGCATTATGTTAGATGACCATACATATATTACATGATCATGTTTTTGATAAAGGCTTCCTGACTACTATGAAGTGTAGAGAGGAGATCTTACAGTTCTGTTTGACTTTTCAGAGGCACAGTTTGTCAGTCCTAGGTTCCAATTAATGAATGACAATGCTCATCCACATTAGGGCTCAACTGATCGATGGTTTTACGTAGAAAAAGAAGATATTCACTGCAAGGATTAGCCAGCCAGATCTCCTGAGCTTAACTCTTTGAAGCATATGTGCGATGCTCTTGAGAGAGTAATTTTATCTCACCATCCTCCTCCAAGATCCCAGAGTTGAAAACTGCTTTGCTGCATGAGTAGGATTGACTGCCACAAGGACTTCTCAGCTGCCTCCTGTCTAGTATGCCATGATGTTGTGCAACCTATCTGGATCTGAGAGGGAACCATATTCCACATTAGACTCAGTTTGGTAATACAGTTTGGATTTTGGACACCTCGCACTATGAGCTTTGCTGACAATGATCCTTACTAATATTATAAATGTGAATGTGAGTTTGTTACGCTTTCACGCCTTAATTACTTAACTGATCATGAAATTTTCAAGAAATATTTTTGATATATTAGAAAAGGTTATGGGCTATAAAATGTCTTCGTACGACTTTTATTAACTGAGATATTAATTAAAAACTATGTTTCCCCTACATTTTTCACTCACTTTGTTGGGTTTTTCCGTATTAAAGATATTTGGTTACACGCCAATTTATACTTTCACAAATATCTATGGAACAACGATTAGTTGAATTTCAAGACACATATCCGCTGTTTCCAGAATTTCATCGGAATCCATTGATACCATTCGCATCTTCGTACGAGTTTAATCAGCTGAGATATCAATTAAAAACTCTGAAAATGCTAATTTGAATGCGACTCAATAGCAACATTAGGGATTTTTTCTTGAGTCTTCCCGCGTGGGTTCAATAAATTGATGATAAAAATGAGAACTTTTGATCTAATTATCCAAATTTCTTGAAATTTAGAAACTTGTGTCGCTGTCTGAATGATGGGAACAATGGTGGTGTAACTGTTTTTGTCGCTTAATTAGAGATGAAACAATACTCCGCTTGCTGTTGTTAACAGGCTGCGATTCGAAAGCGACGGAGGGGGGGGAGCTGGTATCCAGTCGACCGTTGGGTTTGCGAAAAGTCAAAGTTCATGAATTTACACGTAGAAAATCATTTTCAAAATAATAACTTCTAATTAACTTAACGACTTGAAACTATTATCAACATTTTGACTTTTGTGATATATTTAATGTTTTATTTCGTATTTTTTTAAAGATCTATTCATTCGTGTTATATATTTCTGTTATTGTTGCTTGAAAAATTGCATTTACATTTTATATTCTTACATTTTGTGTGCGATAAAAATTTTTGTTTTATCATTTTAAGGCGCTTAAATGTTTTTTATTTCGAAATTTTACACGGAGTGTATTTTTCAAATCCACGCAAAGTTGAAACTCATGTAAGGACATCAACGTGAGCGAAGCCGCAGTTGAAGCTAGTATGTAAATAAAATGACTTTTGAATAGTACATCTCTTTCCTTTAGATACTTATTCATACAGAATTTCATTAAAATCCTCACATTAGTTTTTCTGAAATTCGAAATAATGTTGAAGTTTTGTTAATTTTGATCACAAGTATAGAATATAAAAGTAAAATAATTAAATTTATGGCTTAGCAGTAACACATTAGTTAAGATTTTTTTTAATAATGGTACATCAATTTGGTTGCAAATTCCGGCGAACTATCTAGATAATTGGGTATACCTTTTTCGCTTTCTTTTCATGAACACAAACCAGTTTTTCTTAGAGTCCTCCATGAAGACATCCTTACCTCTATATGCTTTGTTGCATTCTTTTAGAAAAGCAATCAGCTCATATTTTTTG